TCGCTTTGTTAATCTTTACTAATTCATTCGTATGCCGAGTTTTTGCCATTTTTTCACTCCCACATAGATCCGGCAAAGAGGTTGCTCGTTCTGAGCTTCTTACTCAAAGGGTGCTCAGAAGTGTTATTGTGAATAGTTCTTTGGGTAGTCAGTTTCGTCGATGTGCGAGAGCGTTGCGCATAAGTGCTTGCGAAAAGTGGCACTAGGCGCTGAGATGATTCTATGCGCCCTGGCCTCGAATAGAAAGCTTTCTAGGCTTGGATTCTTTCAATGTTTTCCCTGTGCTCCAAGGATGCTTTGAAGAGGACACCTTCTTTCATCAAGTTCAGGTTGAAACGATGACGATTCATTCAAGGACTCCACGCCAAAAAAACTCTTAAAGCACCTTATCGTAAGTGGAAGAGGGCGATTGTACTAGATTTATAAACTCTAAGATTTGTAGCTTCTTAGTCCCTACTCAGCATAGTGGTCAGGATGCCAGATATGCTCTTCTCTTCCCGCTTATTCGTGTCACGATGTAAACTCATCAATTAAAACCTCGTCTTCTGACCTTACCAAGAAAGGGGAACCTTGTTAGCATCGAATTCTTGACACAGTCAAAGTTTCAGGAAGGATTAAAACCAATTAAAAGTGTCATTCCTATCAAAGGTTTATCAGCTGCTCGTTCAGTCCAAACAGCTGATAAACCCTTGATAGGGATGACGCTTTCAATTGGTTTTGTGGTTTTGTGGGATCAATGGTCCAAAGTCAGTCAACTTATTGTTTGCCTTGCCGCAGATTGTGAATTTTAGAGCGCTAACGACTGTGCATATCCCTTGCACAATCATTTTTTGCCAGTTAAAGCGTTTTGTCATTTTATTGGTCGTATCCCTTCTTGAAACGCTCGTTCATAGCGAAGTCGTTCCGTTTTAGCCATTCTCTTCGCTCAACTGTCGGGTCTTCGCAAATTTCGTTAACTGATTCATGGCATGGGAAGGAAGAAAATAACTACCCGTTCACCAGTTTATACATCTGAACTGAGGTTGAAGGGCAGTTGAGGTTCAGATTGTAGTTTGGATAAAGGTATGGTGTCAGATGGAATAGTCAGAGATGGTTATTCAACTTTCCTGCTATCGCTTTCTGGCACATTGCGCTATTGAATCCCATTTAGGATTATGGGAGCTATCAAACGGAGACGTGTTCCAACGAAAGCTTGAACATTCACCTAATGTTTTAGTCAGTGTTTTCGTGCTTTGAGAGCAAGCAAAGGAAGAAGACTATCCTAGGGGGATGAGAGCAGCGAATTGTAAAGGATATCTGGCGTCAATCCCGTTTTTAGGATGCGCCCCGCATTTCACTTCCATTCAGAATCGTAGTGAACTACATATTGAATGCGTGTTTGGCCTATACAATGAATACTTGCGGTGGTCAGCCAATGTACAAGCCAGTGCTTTTATACATACATAGGAGTTTGGTACAAATTAACCGATCCCAAAGGTGTGCTGGGCATGTTAATGGGCATATGTCGATCCGGGATCCGATCCCCGATTCATCCGTATGTGATATTGCACCACATGCCACTACACCACCACTGCGATTGCATTCCATTCAAGAATCATATGAATCGAAACTTCTATGAGCATCAAGCGACTATCTGAGAAGTTTGGTCTGCGAAGAAAAGCGTGCCAATTCTTTGAAATGGCTTCGGAAACTGCCGCTGGTGAGTTAAGATGCCACCCTGGAGAGTACAGCCAGAATACGTAAAAGTATCTGGGGGAGCGTCGTAACTTCCGTTTATGACAAGTCGGTTTCTCACATGGTGCGATTAGGTGAATTCCCATGAAGAAGTAGTGAAAGGCCGACGTAACGAGGTTTTTGAATGAGAAAATGTACGGAGCGAACCATAATTGCATCCGGCATGACGTCAGCGGAATCCGTTTCTTTGAAGAGCTAACAGAATTCACGTCCATATGATTTAGAAAAGAATTGGAACGCTAGAAGTAGGTTGTTGCGCTAGGGCGAAGTTGAATTGACAGTTGCCAAATGATCACTTCGGCTTATCAAAAGTCATAAAATGACGTAATGAACTCGTGGTGCGATAACGAACCTTCAAAGCGAAGGTGAACTATTGAACCGATTTCTGGTGACGATATGATAAGCATGTTGCTGATTTTGAAGCACGTTTTACTTTTGATTACTTCTTTGTTGATAGGTCATTAAATGTTATTGGAAGGTGTATAGGCTGGCAGTCGATAAATATGGCCCCTATAAATCTACTCAACTTCTTTGTTATGGTTTTATATAGACGAATTCCACTCCAAGATGTATCCCAAAAGGGAAGGAATGCCAATGACTTCGAGTTTTTATCGTAATGACTCCATGTTTTTAGGTAATCGATCGGGAGGTTTTTGTTTTCCACCCTGGCACTGTGATTAATCGTCACGCCCAAAAATGTGTGGGATTTCCTTTCTATACGCTTTTTCTTCAGACCTATTCAGACCGCTTTTTCCCCCTTTCTTTTAAGCATACTTTTGAGAATCCACGAGCCTGCAAGACTTTCTTTTCTCTTGGGTTCTATTGCAGACAGGTGTGTTCAATGAGAACCGTCCAGTCATTGAATGATATGAATAGATTCCGTGACGTGAGCCCTTAATGAAGCATAGGTATAGGATTATGAAAGCCATACATCTGATGATGCATGTTTAGCGGGGATTTAGGGAAGAGCGCATGTAATCCATATGCGTGTTTGAAGTGAAAGTAGGCTTGAGGATGCACATAGTCGTTGAAGCACTGGTTCGAGAACCACAAAAATGCCGACTGAACTTCCTGAACTTTGAATACTGTCCAAGCTTTCAGAAGAATTATGGTTTAACCGGACAGGGGATAGAGTGAAGAGATGTTAGCTCAATGCTAGTGGAGCCTCGGAGACTGGCATTAACTTGAAAAGCAGCCTCAATTCTATAGAATACTTTTTCTCAACCAGTAAGCCTTTTTTGAATTGTTGACTGAGCGATTTCCAAGATTTCCTCTAAAACACCTGTGATAACTTCCTGTAAAGTATTTTTTTTGGTTAGGCCGTATGCAACAGTATGTAGTGATTCAGTTGCTCTCACTCTTGTACTCATCTTGCTCAATGTTTTTGAGTAGGTTTGGTCTTTGATGGTTACGATGATTGCTTCTTATTGGCTTCTCCCCTTTCTTTAGCTGATCATGCTCATCCTTGATTTTTCCCGTCTCAGTTCATCAAGCATCCAATCGCATTTGGATTTGATGAATTGCGACGAGAGAGGGATTCCATATATTCATCAAGGCGCGGATCTTGCTAATGAGTTGTGCCGCTGCGACTGCGCTCTTACCTTGATGGTATTCGCGGTGTTTGATCGAAGCCAGTAGGACATCATTCGAGATAAGTAAGAATTGCTATCACTCAGTATTACAACTAACACTGTCACTTTAAAATAATTTCCTCTCCATTGGAACTTTTCTCGAGGAAAGTCTCGCCGAATTCACTTGAATACCCTCGAACATCGGCTCGATGAAAGGGCAGCGATGGAGAAAGTACATCTGGGGCAGAATGAGTGCGGCGCTTTGCCACACACCCCGTGATCGTGGGGTATTGACGCGCGCCTCCAAGGAACCTTTTATTTTCTGAGCAGGGAGAAAAATTCGGACCAAGTTCGTAGTTCTCCAAGTCTAAAGTCGGTTGCCTTGGCTGGAAATAAAAGTCCGTTCGATTGAATTGTGAAACGTTGTCGAAGTGAGATTGTGTTTATGAAATAAGTCTAAGTCTCAGAGCTGAGACCTGGAAGTAGGAAAACCCTATCGTTTAGAATTTCATTGTTTGCTAACATGAGCTTCTTGGCTTCATTTGGTTACGGCACGCTTTGTGTCTACGCTCATTTCGTTTTGTTACCGATAGTCCGAAGCCCTTCTGAGACAGATGTCTTTACATAGAATCGATTAACTCATTTGTCTGCTTTCCGAGTACTGGCTCGCTGCAGTCCCTTCCAGTCGTTTCAAAGTTATATGTTCATGGAAAACGAATTGTGTAATGATTCTTCGGGCTTAGTTGTAACCGCCAGTCTGGAGGCTTTGAATTCAATTTGTTCAGTACATTTCGGCTTCATTGACTTTTCAATTGAAAATTATGAAAAATCATTCCTTCTGACAATTTTAAAAATGTGCATGTATTCAATTTTCTTTATAGAATGCCACTTCTTGAACAATAGTGCCTGGTTCGTTTACATGAAGTTTTGTCCTTGTCCTTTGAGCTTTGTAGGATAGATATTTGATCCTTTCCTCCATTAGAACCTAGGAATTACTCCTTGAACACCTTTTGTCTTTTACACACGTTCATGTGCATGATCAAAAACCTGATTATTTGTGATAAAATCATTATCACTGGTCCATGTATCTTGTGTTCAGATCAATCGACCCTCTAACTAGACAAAATGGCAGGATTTCTAATGAAACAGATGGTGGGTAACCAGCTCAATGAGGTGACTGGTGGTCTCGGCCTCAAAGGTGGAGACGATAATGCCGAGAAAACAGCTGAAGGCGAGGATCCAGAGGTGTGTTTAGAATGATTGAAGATAAATGTGGGTTTTTATTGGTAGATTTCTTCAGTTAAAGGGATAGATTCCTGTTGTATTAGATGGGACATGCAGTTATACTTGGATGTTATATTTCAGCCAGGAAACAGCGATAGGCTGTGAATTTTGCTATCGACTTTCGGCTTAGAATGTTGTTTGTGTCAACGGCTGCGACGCAATCGCTGGCTGTCTTCTAATGCGGCTAAATTCTCCTGAGACGTATTTTAGCAGCTAGTACACTCTGACATCCGCCGTTTCAGCGAAATTGCATGAGGATGTGTACGTGTGTAGGTGGATATGTAAAAATCGTGAGGCTCTCAATTTCATAGCCGAAGGAATCGAGGAAGTCAGAATGGGAATTAGTAAACTTCCCAAGTAGGATATTCAGCTACACATCATTTTTATATCACGCTAATTCTAGGATTTCCTAAAAAAGAATGTGTATGGGGGGGGGGGG